CTTAACCTTTGAGATGAAATAACCTAATGGTTTGCATTCCACACACCAAGTGTGGGAAAACGTTCTTGGGTATAACCATTATAATATATTTGAAGTTACTGCGGAAATATATGCCCATGTATGAGTGAAAGCTGTGTTTTCAGATGAAGAAAGCTTCCTATAGGGACTTGTACAAGGGAGATGCTGTTGTTACAGTCAGTGGACTGTGGGTTGCATTTGTCCTGAAAGACATTGTGGTTCTTTGAGGTGTGGGGATCAGGCCTCCATATGCATAGCTGGGTATTTGAACTGCACTGATGTTATGGTGTTGACAAAGTCTTCCAGGAAGATTTCAGATTAAGTCTCTATGATTAACGAAATTGATAGAACTGTTTGCAATAATAGTAGAAAAATATCAAATTCTTAAATGTACAGGGAGTTGTAAAGGGTTATAAGCAGACCCATGAAAATGTAGTTTTTAAACCTCTTATAACTTAAGTAATTTGAGGGTTTGTTTGTCTTGCAGGAAAAGAGCAAACCCTTTATTGACATATGCAAGAAGTGACAGGTTTTTTTGGAAGATGAGAAATCCATCAATGAAGGAGCTATGTGTTTTGCAGATCTTTAAGATTTTTGAAGGTACTTGGGTGCCTGCAGATGAAAGTAGGACCCTATGAAACTTATGGAAATGCCTGGTTTCTTCCTGTAATTGCCTGAATACTTTCAAAGTCAAACTTTTAATTTGTAATACCTGAGATGGTAATACAATTAAAGGGAAAATAAATCATTTTACATTTCGGTGTGACAGAATTTTGTCCTTGAATTGTGTGTGTTATGTAGCCATATAGTTTGTCTGACTTGTGGTTTTAAGGCAGCACCATGTACAGCCTCTCACTCCCTTGTCCCCTCGGGTGGGAGGGGGAGGAGAATAGGGAGAAGAAAAGGTAAAAACCTCTTGGGCTGAGGCAATGACAGGGAGGGTTCTCTTACCACTTATGATCACAGGCAAGAAACAGACTTGACTTGGGAAAACACAAAAACAATTTAATTGTTTAACAATCAAACACAGAGCAAGATAATGAGAAAGAGAACTACATCTTAAAAAGGCACCTCTTCCCCCACCCCTCCCTTCTTCCCAGGCCCAAAGGCTTTGCTCCCGGTTTCTCTACCTTCTCCCCCCTGGGTGGCACAGGGGGCAGGGAATGGGGGTTGTGGTCAGTCCATAACCTGTTGTCTCTGCTGCTCCTTCCTCCTCAGTGAAGGGCTCCTCACAGTCTTCCTGCTCCAGCGTGGGGTCCCTCCCTCACAAACTTCTCCAAAGTGAGTCCTTCCCAGGGACTGCAGTTCTGCACTAACTGCACCGGTGTGGGTCCCTTCCACAGAGTCACGGTCTCCTTCAGGCACAGTTACTTATTCCAGTGTAGGGTCCTCCACAGGCTGTATATCAATAAGCTGCAGGCAGGCTCAGCTCTTTGTGGGCTGCATGGGGATGTGTGTCACCATGATCTTCACCATGGGCTGCAGGGAAAATCTGTGCTCTGGTGCCCTTCCTCCCTCTCTTTTTCTCTTCACCAACCTTTGTGTCTGAGTAGTTGTCTCTCTCACATCCTGCTCCTCTCTCTGCTGCAGGTTCTTTTACTGGCTCCTGAGAAGCTCCCGGCTCTTGGGGGGGATGGTGTTTGTTTACTGGTTGATATACAAAGGAGATTAACTGTTACAAGGACATACAACTTACTAGAACTTTTCCTTCCTCTGGCACCTAAGTGACATGAAGTTCTAAAGCTGGTTATTTTAAAAATAATTTAAATATAGTTTTTCCAGTGGAAAGGAAGAATGTCATAAATCTCAGTGCACTGTGTCAGTTTTCACTTTAAGGATTTACCCTGCAGTGGTGTCACATGTCACTGTATTTCCTTTGTCAGTGCATCAGTAGTGACAAAAGGAAACATGCTGCACACTAGACTGACATATTGGCATAGGACAAAAGCCAGCCAGATCTCTGGGGGAATATGAGTAGTTTTTCTTTGCTAAAGACAACAGACCTTTAAACTTTCGCTGATCTGCCATTTGTGAGTGTGATATGGCTATTTGGCTGCATTTTTAAGAATGAACAGGTCTGTAGTTGGATCATGTCAATATGGGAAAGCTTTGGACTTCGGTATTAGAAGCATTCACTTCTGCAGAGTTACTGTAAAAAGATTTACAGGTTAAATTTGTCTCTAATGTGGCCACTGAAATTTCAGTGTGTTGGCATCGGTTTCCAACATCCACATTTGTGTAGAGAACCTAGGCTCCATTGACTTCATTGTCAAGCAACTTGGTTCAGGTGCCTGAAGGTAGGCATCTGGTGTCATCTGAGACATGTAGGGTATGTGAAGCAGCTGCATGGGGCTGGCAAAAAATTATACACAAGCTATAGGTAACTTGTGTCCTTCTCAGCTGGGAGCTGGAGAACACTTGGGACACCCTAGCGCTTCTCACCTGTACTAGATGCCTTTGTTTAGGCAACGAATTTTGCTTCAGGACACGATCGATACAGTAAGAGCTAAGGTGGCTTGATCACATGGAGGTACCTAAATGTGACACTTTTCTTAACCTTGAGCGTAATCCTGGTCATGGTTCCTGGAATACGGAACCTTACTGCAATAAAGATTGTTCGTTTGTAGTCTCAATTCCCCACTTTAATTACAGATGGTAATGTGCTGCTTGAGTTGCAATAAAAACAGATTAATCCTACATTGAAGAAGATATTTTATTGAATGTGACTTTTAAGTTACATTTTGGGTACTGTGTGTAACCTTGTATTACTAGATGAGTGAAGAGAGTGGTCGTGTGGCATGCAGAGCTTGTCAACCTGTCAGGGAGGTGTGAGGTTACAACAGTCACTTGACTTGCATTCTTGACCTGGAGGACACACCTGCTGCTCAGATGGGGACACCAGCAAGACTGCTTAGGGAAGAAAGGATTTCTGCTTCCAGGTTTATGGCTATTTAGGCTCTAACGGCGGTTTCTCTAATGACTTTTCAGTGAGCTGCCAGTCATCTAATGAAAATAATTTCTGAGTGTTCAGGACATAGGGTTCAAAGCAAATTGGTTGTGAAATGTTCAGTTTGTGGATACAAAGGGGCTTGGCAGACAGGCAGATATGTTTCCTCTTGCAAGGGCAGGGGCTAGAGGCTGCAAAGAGAAAATGGTACTGCCTTGTCTGGTTGTGGGCAGAAAATTTCCCGTATGGGAGAAGTTCTGTATCGCCACAAAAAGTGGTCCGTATGTTTATTCTCCAGCTTCTCTGGAGCGTCAGACATTCATGAAAATGTGTGTTCATGTTCAGACCTGTTTCTTCTGTAAGAAGCGAAAACAGCAGCTTTAAGTAACAATTGTTTATTAACGTAGGACTAAAACTTTTCACAAATACTTAGTCATACCCGTCAAGATACACTTCTCTGTGACAGTTTGGACTGAATACACACAGTAAAGAGTTTAGAATATAGTTGTCTTATTTCACCTTTTAGAATGCATCATTTCACTGAACTAGTCACAAGAAGAGAAGGTAATAAATGTGCAGTTTTCAATATTGTAAAATGGAAAAGATCACATCCTTCATAACAAACAGTATCACAGCATGAATGCATAACCCAGCACACCTGTACAGTGCTATAGGAATGTTCTTGTAATGAAAAACAACGGAACATTAACATCACTTGGAACCACAGCTTCTAGTTGTTATTGAGGACCCACCACGATGCTGAAAGAGAGGAGAATTTATTTATTTGTTAACATAAGCAATATTTCTTTCTCTACTTCTTGTAAAAATCCTAAATAAAATACCTGTAACATATATAAAGAAAAGTTCATTTATATATGCAGCTAATACTATTTTATTTGAAAGCTGCATGCTTTTAAGGCTAAAACCTTTCCAGGCAGGGGACGAATACTTAAAATACTAGGAGAGCTGAGTGTAACTGGTGGGGGGTGGCTTTAGCATAAGAACTTACATCTCATTTTGATAACATCCAAAGAAGCCTTAACATGTCATAGGTGCAGCTGCATAGAATTAAGCACCCAGATCCCAGAGAGCACACCATGTAACCCCGCTCCTGTTCTGCTGCGTGTGCCAGTAATTTCGCTGAGCACTGTGTTCCCTGGGCGGATGTGCTGCCTTTAACAACAGTCTTTCCTGGGGACATTATTCAAACCTGGTGCTGTTCTTTTTACATAACTCTAGGATTAAGAGCTTTTTTGCCCCAAAAGTAAGAGAATTGATGGATTTGTAAAATGTAATTCCTGCAAAAGGAGATCTGTAATCACCATATTATAGCCAGGGCTGGAGTGAAACACATTTGTACTTCTTCTTTACAGTCCCTGCCCCTTTGCCCTCTGAAACTGAACCTTATGCAAAGAGGAACCACAAGATTTACGGAGAGAGACAGGAAGGAAGGAAAGGAATTGTGACTGTAGATGAGATGCCAGGTCCCCTTAACTGAGGGGTGTTCTAGGCTCAGTAGGTGTTGAACTACACAGTTTGGGGATTAAATTCATTAACACAATTTATTTCTGTGAATGTGTCTGGAAATCCTTCAGTTATGGCATTTTTCTGAAAAATGTTATTCTTGAAGAGGAACGTTGAGAAGATACTTAGGAATTCTGTCTGAATTCGAGCTATGAAAGCCTAGTAGTCTCTGACACATCAGTGGATTAATGAATTTTGGCAAAATAATGACAATTTATCAGTTTATTTCATGGATTAAGCATTCAACAGTTTTCCCCTAGCTTTTGTTTTCTTCATGAAAACGTTCTCCAAGTGTCCTCAAGTCCAGATCTTTATCTAAAGATCAGGCATTCACTGAAGATGAACTGACTGATTTGCTATCCTTGTAGATCGGCCTGAAGCAACTATTAACCGATGGTAAATGAATTTGCTTTAGGATAATATTGGATCTAACATTCCTGAAATCCTCTGTCTTCCTGAATCATTCTTAGCCAGGCAAGTATATCTTTATTAATTTTAGTTAATCAGCTGAGTGAAGACCTTTGGGTTGTAATCTTTGATTCAGATTCAGATTATGATTCAGAATTGTTTCAGTTCTTAGTTAACCAGATGCATGAAAAACTATAGATGTGTCTGAGCTAGGGTAAATTTGTTTTTAAAATAGAGCCTACCTATGTGCTAGTTGCAGAGTTCCTGATAATCAGGAAAAAAGTGGTATCACTTTTTGGCGTCTAAAATTCTTTCCTAGAGTACACTGGCAGCATTGCAGCCACCATTTTTTACTTCATGAACATTTTCTGTGTTTCAAATACAAATATGATTTCTACAGATCAAACATGGGAAGTACGTTCCATGAAACAAAAGCTCAAAAGTCTGCACAGATTTGTAAATTATAGGCAACCTATAAAATTGCAAAAATAACCGTGAATGCATTACTTCCCAGTGCTCCCCCCGCCCAGCAAGGAGTGCACAGTGAGAAATGTTGTTTCTATGGCAACTATCTGCCAGGATGGAGTGCTTCAGACCGAAATCCTTCTTAGCAGGCAGAGTCGATGCTTTCACGAGCATTTTGAATCCAATTTCAGACATGTCTATATTTAGAGATTTATAAATTATGTGTACTTTTTTTTTTTTTGTTGTTGTTGTTGCTTTAATTGTACTTGAGCTGTGAGGAAGCCACCCCTGGAACACATCTGGCTCATACCCAGTCTCGCTCTTGAACATACAGAAGTTTGGGAAAGGGCCACCTTTTTTCCTACAGCTAAGTTTGTCTTAAACCCAGCAATTTCCCAGTAAGATTTGAGGGATTCTGGCTTCATTAAGTGCAATCTCCTGATACAGGAATCCCTGGCATATAACTGCGTGTTCAGATCAGGCTCATGAGGTATGAAAATGTCGTGGCTGGTTTCTTTTAAGGAGAAATGCCAAGTATAGGACTATGTAATTTTTTTTTTTTTTTCTCCTCGGTGGGGTTTTCTTATTTTAAATTTAGTCTGTATTCAGACATAGGAGAAATTAGGGTTTTATTGTAGTAGATTTGTGTTGCCTAAGATAAAAATTTTGCTGTCCTCCCTCTGTAAATGTGGGAATGACGCTCACTTTGCTTCCTCCTGCACTATCTCTTCTATCATTTCTCTAAGAAACAAGATGTTGCATGCTCATTGGTTTGAATTAGAAATAGTAATTTGAAATCATTAACACCTTGCTTTTTCAAAGTAGTTTGTTTTTTCTCAGTTTTAACATAGCAGGAACCATGTACAATAAATTGGTTAGTAAATATTAATTATTAGTAATTAAGACTTGCATCAGTCAATGAAAATATGATTAAATTGAAGTCTTCAGCAAGCAATTTTTTGCTTGAAAATCTTAAATGGGTCTATTTTACTATTCACAAATAGTGTTCTTTATTCTAGATATTTTCTTGAAAGTACATGCTAGCGTAACTTTGTACCATATAAAGTAAAGCATTGTGGGCCCAACTCTTGCTGATGCAGTTTACATTTCTGTGCTTAAAATAAAAGCATTTGGACCCCCTTTCTCCTCCATACTTTACCAAAGAAGTTCTGACTCAGGGTGATATTCTGGAGCGATCCTGCACATGGAACACACCAATATAGCAGAACTCTTCACATGGAACAAACAAAACATTGTGAAAAGTTGGTATTTACCAGGGACTAGCATTGTTGTGATGAGCTCTGGAGTTTCCAAGAAGTCCACGTTACTTCTTTGGAATGTCTTGCTGTAATTCATTTGAAGGTGGCTAAACAATTGTAAAAAATAAGATTATATCTTTTTATGAGCATCAGAAATGTTACAATTAATGTTGTAACAGAGATTTTGTGCTTCAAAACTCAGGCAATGAAGATAGCGGGAGAGGAGCCCAGATGTGAAGTGCGTGCATGTTTTATTAAACACAGGTTTTCTTCTGTACGATTAAGAGTTATTCTGATGCTCCTCTCTTGGTTGTGACCCAGTGTAGTGTTGATGTCTGTTACTAGCATTCTTGAGTCTTTCTCAAAGTAAACTTTGAACTGGGGTTTTGTTCAAAAGGAAAGAACCTAAGCTTCAAGGAACTTCTCCATCTTCCTTCAGAATGGTTTCTGTCTACAGATTTAGGATCATAAGGGGTTTTTTGTTTGGTTGGTTTTGTTTTTTTTTTTTTTTAATAATAAATGTAGTTAAGGCAAATCTTTTTGTCTCTACTCAATTGCTTAGCCATCTGCCTGCCGCAGGCTAGAATTTGTCTGGTAGGACTTTTAGTCACTTTAATTTCTATTTTGGGCTCAAAAGAGATATTCTGGGAATCTCTCAGATGGGTTTTTGTCATGTGGATTTGGGAAGGTTGGGAAAGTTCCCCATGACTGCCTGCATGCTTAAGGGTGTTGCTGGATGGCCACCTCCTGTCTCACTCATTGGCTCCTTCTGTTGTTTCCCTGTTCTTTTGTCTCTGATCACCTAACATCCATCTGATGCCGTACCTTTCTCTCTTTGCTTTCAGACTTTTTATGTTCTATTTGAATTAGCTTTGTCTTTCTGACATTTTTATTTGTATGTATGTTTCAGTATATGTTAGTTTTCAGGAATTGAAGTATTGTTCTGAAGTATTAATTACAACTATCAAGAGATTAATTAGTAGTATTTAATTTGTATTCAGTCTTTCTACACAATTTCTTTCTAACCTTCAAAACTTTCTGTATTACCAAAAAAAAAAACCAACCTCAAACCAAAAACCTGAAACTTACCTATTCCAGGCATTGCTGTTCTCCCAGAACTCATAAACAATGAAGCGGGAATCACTTGGAAGCTTCTGTATGGAAACACTAAGAATTGTAGGATAGAACTAATTTAATAAAAGATGACAAAGTTATTGGACATACACATCTTATTCCAAATTGCTTATGAGTTGGAACCAAATACAATGATTTTTGAAATAAAAACCAAACCAAAACAAAAAACCAACCCAAATAATAAATTTAACAAATAAGTGATCACATACTGCAAATTATCTGATCTTTCTTTTAAAAAAAACCCCTTGGTGTATTTTTATGGCTTTTTATTTATTAATATTTTTTATTGTTACACTTATGATAAGACTCTTATTTATGAAACTCCTTTTTCATATTGCTCCAGTAGTGTCATTTATCCAAAGTAATGCTAATCAGCAATACAAAAAATTAATCAGACAGCTGTGGTTCAGGGGAAATCAGCTAATACAGCGTATTGCACATAGAGAACAGTTTGAGTAAGTTTACAGAGTGGCTTGTGCTGTTTCACTGGAGAATTATGCTGTGAGAAGTCATCCTCTTGTATGAGAAATGCATCAGTGGCATAGAGTTTAGGAGCTTTGAAAACAAATCTTAATAAGGTATAAAGCCAGATGACAGGCTGATGTCTGCTGCAGATACACTTTTAAAATAATGCCTCTGGGTACTATTTACTTATTCTTATGCTATTCAGCTAATAATTTATCATGGGTGAAAAATAACCCCCAGAGTATCTGTGGATCCTCTACACAGAATCATCCTGCTTATTATCGTGAGCATAAAAGCTTTATAGCACGTAGGGTACTTATGCATTTGGGTACTCAAATTGGTGTTTAGATGTATAGCACAAAAACCATATGGATGTCTTTCTCTGAGTGCCCAAGTGTGAGATTGCTGATGTTACGCTGATGTGCTTACACACTGGTCTCAGGTTATACTTCATACAGTAATAAGCAATAAGGCATATGAGTTATTGGTTTTCTCCTCCTGTATGTGAAAGCACGTTGTCATATAGCAAAATTATCAAGAGCTGTTGGAAAAAAACGTCATAAACAGTTACAGTAAAAACCAACCGGTAGGTGGCATTACAGACTTACCAAATGTCTGTAAACTCGGGAAAGAAAGTAACTTCGTGCCATCATTTGTTAAGTTGCATTCTGAAGTCATGCAAGCTCTCTCCCCGGGCGAGGTTGGAGTCACGACAGTAGCTTGCTGGATGTTTATTTTTGAAGGGGGGCTGTGGGGCTTCTCTTCTTTGTTTTTTTCCAGCTCTTGGCCCACGAAAGAATTTTATTTTCCTCATCAGTCTGCTTTTACAAGCTAACCACTGCAAAAAGGTCACTCTTCTTCCAGCTTAACTTACATTTTCTTGTCATAGCAACAAGGCTTATAAATTATAGATGTGAGAGGCAACCTTTGAATATACAGGAAGATCCTGTATTGTGTACACATTATACAAATATTTATTTCATAATGGTCTGTAGTGTGTATGGTAGTAGCTTTCTCCAGTGTGTTAAATTAAGAAATTCAGTACAGTGGTGAGTCACTAAAATTTATTCTTAACCCAGTTCTAATGTTTTAATTCTAAAAGGAGCAAAGCAGAAATACACCATTTCATTTAAAATTTTGCTTTTTAATTTTTTCCCATTCTCTATCATGAATTAAAATTTTAAAATGACAGTCTAAAGGGAAGATTCTGAAAGCTTCCATGCAGACTACTGGCAAACAAGTTGGTAAGTTGCTCACTTGCCAGGTGAGCACACTTGAAGGATGACAAATGAGTTTTCCCATAAAGAGTGTCAGCCTGGGAGCTTTCACAAGCCATGAATTGGTGACCTACCGAGCTGAGAAGCCTTAGAAGATTGTTTAGCATCTTTGGGATAGCCTGTATTGTAATTTTGTGATACTACTTAAAGTCTGCACATATACTTTGACATCTCTTTCTGGTTTTAGTTGTCTTTGAAAAGTTCTTACACACATGCATAAACAGCCAGGAAAGAAGATGTTGGCAGGTTCTTTCTTCATAAACAATCCAGCTCCATTTAAAAGTTATTCAGGAAATTAGACCACATTCCTTCCTTCAGCCCAAGGACAGTGACATTGTACTTACTGCAAGCAGCCACCTTGAGCAGAAGCAGATTCCACGTACTGCTTGAGAGCGAGCCGGAATTCCTCGATGTCTTCTTCTATCACAGACATTTGACGTTGAACAATCATTATGTGCTGATACAAAAACATGACAATGTTACTGCCATATCATCTTCTGAATTCTTTGTACTTCAAATTCAGAAAAGTTTATCACAAAACTATAAAAACCACAATCATCAAAGAAAACCCACAAAAGTTCCTTTGAAGTTTGCCGTCCCTGTTTTAGTGCTCTGGATTGGAGAAGTTGAAATGCTCGAGTGTGGCTGTTTATGTTTAGGCAGGCTGAGGCACAGAATGGAAACTCCCAAAATGAGTGTCCACCTTAGAGAAAGCAAGAGTTGTCCGATGCTGGGATGAGAGGGACTTTTTACAAGGGCATGCAGTGACAGGACAAGGGGTAATGGTTTTAAGCTGAAAGAGGGTAGATTTAGATTAGATATTAGGAAGAATTTATTTGCTGTGAGGGTGGTGAGGCACTGGAACCGGTTGCCCAGAGAAGCTGTGGATGCCCCATCCCTGGAGGGGTTCAAGGCCAGGCTGGATGAGGCTTTGAGCAACCTGGGCTAGTGGGAGTTGTCCCTGCCCATGGCAGGGGGGTTGGAACTTGATGATCTCTAAGGTCCTTTCCAACCCAAATGCTTCTATGATTCTATGGGAGAGTCTTTTTGGAAGAATGTAAAGCAAATTTTGATCTTTGAAATGTTCAATAATAAAGTCAGCATGTTTCCTTCCTTCCTGAATCTGTATGCAAGCAGGTGCGAGGTTTGAGATAAGAGCATATTCCCACAATCTGCGTTGGATGCAGTGTTACTTTCATTGAGGTGATGTTGTAGTCTTTTTCCTTTTAGAACTCTGACTCACACCTGAATGAGATGCCTGAGGTAGCCCATTTTAAATTATGACTAGAGAGTGTTCTTTTCCTCCTCCTTTCTGTAAAAAAATGAACAATCTTTATAAACAGGACTATGGAAACACTTGGCAAACAGGAGACTTATTTATCCTGAATTACTATGATTATCATTTAGCTAATGTAAGTAGTTTACATACTGATTCATCCATGGAAGCTTGTCAACTTTACTAATGAAATATTTGAAGAAACACCATCTCTTGTATGGGTTTTTGACTTGTTTCTGCCTTGATTATTGATACTGTTATCTCATGGATTATCCCTTCTTCATAAGCAGCCTGTCTAGCAACATTGTATAATCTAATTTAAAAAAGCAAAAATATTAATACAACTCTTGTGATGAAATAAGAAATTTGATGGACCATCTATTTTTGTTATTTTTTTCATGTGTATTCAATTTGCATTTTGTTAGGTTCAAAGCCCTGAATTTAGGAATGCTAGTGTATTTGAAAAATTCATCTTGATATTGGGACATGAACTTAGTTAAAAGTAGGTTTATTTCTGGTTATGTTTTTGGTTTTGTAAGTTGTCATATTGATTTCTGCTTGACACGAGATGCTCTCCCATCTTTCCTGATAAGGCTTTCTATAACAGTTTCGGAGGGAGGGAAGGATGCTGGCTGGCTGTACAACCGTGATTTAAAGCATGCATGCAGCATTAGGCAATCAGGAGCTGAGAGGGTACCAGCCCATAAACACAGCTGCCAAATTCAGTAAATCTTATTTATTACACCTTTTCCTCCTATGTGACTTGAGGTTTTGGCTCACTGTACCCTTTGAAAACAATGCAAAAATTTATTAATATAAACATTTTCCCTCCATATTCCAATTTTTTTTTTGTGTTGCATCTTGCACAATGTATTCTGCTGACTCAAGTGGATTCTTACCACTGGGAAAAGTGAGGATGGCGATTTTTTAATTTATTACTTTTTAACAAAAGAAATCAGATGAGGTTGTTGTCTTGCTACCTGGAAAAAAAAGTCAAAGGTCATTATCTTGAAAAGCACTTACAGATTTTGCATTTTCTTCCAAAACTTCCTCTTCAAATGGCTCAAGCTTTAGGTCCTTTCAGGCAGTTGAAAAGAAAACAGAAATATAAGAGGCAATAGTACGGGTGTATTCTGCTCTTGCCTTTTTAACAAACTATTCCAATAGTAGTTAGATTCTGTTATATCTCCAGAAGTTATAATTAAATCCCTTCTTTATTAGCTGTAAGTCAAACACAAGGATTGTTTGCAGAATCTTGCACATTTCAGTGGTTAACTCCAGTCCGGGCTATTCTGTAAAGTTTTATTTATAATGCAGAGCAGGTAATTTTCTCATTTGAAACAAATCTGCTTGCTCACAAATGTACATTGGACTTAATTCAGAAGAGACAAATGCCTTCTCAAATTGTCACGTGGACTATGGAGATGAGCAAGGGAGGGGTATAGTTGCAAGGAACTGTTTTCTAGCATTGAAAGAGATGAGCACGGTGCTCCAAGTCAGGTTTCTGAATGGCTGTACTTGCTCCCGAGGACAGACTGGGCAGCAGCAACCAGATGCATCTGTGAGGCAGCAGTATGCTTGCAGAACACACAGACTGGCTGCGCACTTCATGAGGCAGTGATTCATGCACACACCATCTAACAGCGCACACAAAATTTTGGCTTACATGCTAGGCACATGCAGTGCCCTCTAATCCAGTGCCATATGGATATTCTGAAAAATATCCATATGCCTGAAAAAACAAGCAGACCAATTTGCAATAAGCATCTGTAGCAAAATGCACTCTTGGTGGTGCTTCGCTTTTCATTGCACACAGTTCTTGTGTAACAAAGATAAAAAAATTTCTTCTGCTTCCAGCTGGGTAAGGATTGACTAAACCTCAGGTAGCAGGCATTTCACCAGCTCAAATACTGCTGGCTGAAAAATCAACGAGAGGTGTGCAGGTAGAATTGAAATGAACAGGGGACCTCCACCAGCAGCAGGTGGCAGAGCCTGGCAGGGGTGAAGTAGGAGTCACACGTTGCCTGCTGTGCCGCTGCACCTCTCCTGCACAACGTGCACAGAAAGGCATGAAGTGTGTGTGTGGGGGAGAAAAAACCTACGCAGCTTTAATAGCTCATTTTTCAGTGCAGACACTTCAGATAAAAACCCTGAGAGAAAATGCATATTGGTCTATATTTTCAGTGCAATTTTTTTCTAGGGAAATGTATGGAAGAAGTGAGGAAGGGCATGCATGACTCAATTTGTACTGCAAGCTTTCTCTTAAGGTATCAAGAAAAAAAAAATCTGCTTTTCCCAGTATGTATCACTTTAGAACCCAAGAAAAAAAAAAGAGGACTTATGAGAATGATTCATGGTTCATTTCACCTTTGCCAGAAGACAGCTGAAGAGTTAGACAACACTAAATCAGTCGTTCACCAGGTATTTTTCCAGTAGGAATCACTGTTGGATAACTTGCTGACCCCCTCAAGCAGTTAATCTATAGCAGTTCTTCAGTAATGTTATGTTGTCAGACAGGGCATGACTACACAGATGAGCTAAGTCCACACAGACAGCTTGCTGTGACCTTGGAGCACGCTGGCGCACAGTCCTTGTCTGTGCAGAAAGAGCGCTTGGACATCCGCTGACTCGACGCTGAGCATGAGTCAAGTAGTCCAATGTGGAGAGGAGATCTCCTGCCAGAAAGTTATCATGCAGCTCGGAAATGAAAACTGACCAAGACTGCATCTCAGAACCGGGGCTGTACAACACCTCCTCGGTCCTGCCCCAGCTCAGATGAGAAGAGGGAGCTTCTGAAACTTCCTCTTAGTGTGATTGTGTGATCCTTCCAATCTGTTTCAGAGCAAAGTCAAAAAGAAGAGCTTCAGTAGCCGCTGAAAGGCAGCAAAAATGTAACACTTGGCTGGATGTGGTGGGTTAACCTGGAACATCATCTGGGCTAAAAATGATTAAGGTACTGCAGAGAGATGGCATATGTAACTGCCTCATCTCAGGCGAGAAGTAGTGACCAGCCACTTGGTTTTTCTGTTTAATTCATTTCAATCTGAAGTCAATGGTCATTCAAGCTATGAGCTGTGCTTTTTTTTGACTTTGCCTTTTCTTGACTTTGCTTTGGAGAAGAGTAGATGGGCTCACAGTCTCCTACTGCTAAGAGGCACCAACATCCTTTTTGCAATACATGCCTGTCCCAGTTGTGACCCAGACACTGTTTTGCTAGGTGCTGTTTAAACATGGATCACAGGGAGCTCCTCCTGCTATAATGAAGTGTAAGATGGAATAAAATGAGGACCAGAGGGGATGTCGTTAATGCAAAGGAATTCTCATAGTCTTTTTAATATGCCTTAGGATACTTTATAGGACCAGAAGTTTTATGATTTCTAAGCTGCATGCCTAGAAAATTGGGTTTTTTAGTTCACAAAAGCCAGAAAGAAGTGCCAAGACAAGAACAATCGAAGAAGGTAATCCTGGAGAAGTTGCAGAAATGGTGAACTTCTCACCTCTTACAGTTAGACCTGGTCATGAGATAAAAAGTCAAGCAGATGCAAAGTTAGGCAAAGGTGGATATAGGCTGTCTTTGTCAAAATTAGGTTTATCTAATTGCTATGTTTTATTAATCAAGTTTTATATTGATAAGGAGATAAATATGGAAGGTCTGTGCCCTGCCACTCTTTCACTTTGGCACTGAGCTCCTTTTCAAGCTGAGGTTCTTTGTCATTTATCTGTAACAAATATGATCATTTTAGAATGTCCTTGTTTTAATTTTAGTTACCACAAAATCATTGTCTGCTTTCTGTAGTGTTTGCATTGCATTATTGCTGTATGCCATGTTTCTTTTTTCAGTAACATTCTTTTAATTTTTAAATTTCCTTAAACTCCTTTTTGGCATGAGTTGGTGTTGGGAGGTCCCAGTGGCAGGACAGTGAGCTGCTGCTTCCAAAGCAGAGCTGGGAGTAAAGCTGGACCAAAAGCGAGAGTTACATTTCATGACGGACTTTGACATTTCAAAATCCAATTTCTACCTATTCAGAAAAAATCAAGTTGCTACTAAAATGTCATTAATGTGGCAACTGCTATATAATTTCTTTTCTCATGCAGAAATGACCTCTGGGAGGAAGCTGTTGTGTGCAGGCAGAGGATGCCCTGGCCTGAGGAGACCACGAGGAGCTGCTGAGCATGGCGAGGAACAGAGTGAGAAGCTGCCAGAAGTTACAGGCAATGCCACAAGGAATGGCTGAATTTCACAGCTGGTTAAGGAGATGCGATGGGAGAGACTGTCAGGCCTCAGGGACATCTGGAGGGAGTCCTGGGCTCCTTTTGTGGAGCAGAGTCTTGCAAGGCTGGCAGTGCCGGGGATGACGGTATCAGTAATGCAGCTATTCGGTAACAGGGCTGAGATAACAAAAATACCAAATCTTGGTCCCAAACTGGGACCAAAGAGGAAAAGTGATTAGGGCTAGTTTGTTCATTTGGGAGGGAGCAATGGCACAGAAAGGTCAGTATGCTTGTCTTGCTGAGCTCTGTGCCAGATCACCACCGTTTATTCTGTCTTCATGTTAAATCCCTTACTTAAGTATTTTCCAGGTGTTTAAAAAGTTGGACCGGCAGGTGAGTAGGGGGAGACACTTGTCTGCCTGTACCCAAAGTCCAAGCCAGTGCCTGGCTAAGGGGCATGGGTCCAGACCCAAATACTAGATGGACTTAAAGCCCATTATAACATTCACGGGGGAATGTCAATCTGATCAGCTGGAAAGAAGGAACAGGGTCAGGCTGTTTCGTGTTCATGTTTCTGTGAGTGCTGCCTGTCTGTGGGTGCTGGTGAAGGCACCGTGCTGCTGTGTGTGGACCAGTATCTTTGGAGTACATGCACAGCCTCACTGGTGAGCACTGACCTGCAGGGAGGAGCAGCATCTGCCATGCTGGGACTGGAGCAGCTCTGGGGTCTGAGAGCACTTCCACCTAAAACCTTGCCTCTAGTGGATCAGGAGGAAGAAATCCCCTGGGACCCAAAATCCACTGAATTCAGCCACACCCTTAGCTCCTGTCTGAAATTGTCTGTCTGTCCTTCAGTAGGGACACCTTATGTAGAGAACAACACAGGCATTTATACCTTGCATTTTTGTCTGCTCTTCTCAAAAAAAAAAAAAAAAAAAGAGTAATCACATACAGACATAAAACAACTTTTAAAACCTAGGGTAGAAATCAATCTGATTGAAAAAAAAAAAAAAGAAATAGGCATTTATAGGCATTTTCTGTACAGACAGATGTTACTCAGGTTTTTGCTAGCCCTGGGAAGCCTTGATATCATTGGATCAGACGAGACAATTGTCAGACTCCCGGAGGGTTCTGCTTTGGCGTGGGAACTGCAGGCGGTCTCAGGGCTTGGGGGGCTGGTGCAGCCCCAGAGCTGGGGCGGCTCCCACGGCTCCCAGGAGGGATGGTGGGATTTGCACCAGCTTTTGGTTGAACTGTACTTACTAGAAAAGTGTTTTAATCTTTATAAATTAGTATTCTCTGATGGGGAAGGAAGAAACAAAACTTGCTGTCAAGTTTTAGTGGGAAAGTTTGGAGAGGAAGAGAAAAAGATCAGATTCTAAAAAGAGAGGCTTGTCCCATCTTGCCAAAACAAGGATAACTACATACAATAACATCCTCCAGTCATAGAGTAATGTGAATTTTCAGATCTTTGTGAAAAGTTGGATATATGGTGATGGGAAGGGGAAAGGGGAATGTGAGAAAACCATGTCATTTTCCCATGAAATAGGAAAGAAGAAGGTGGAAGGAAAATGTAGGCATTTAATGAGTGTTAGCTCATTTAGGTGATGTTGAAGTTTCAGTCATTCTTGAGTGGAAAGACTGTGACTGGGACATTGAAAGCATTTGTGGTTTAAGGATTGCTTTACTGAAAATGAGAGAACAAACAGGTGAAAAGAAACACACACCTTCTTTTCCAGCCTGTCAATCAGCTTTTGGAGTCTGTTTATCTGGGTCATCCACTGGCTGTCTTCCTCAATCCAACCTTTGGAAAATATAAGTAAAGAACATTTATAATAGGTTATTAAATGCTGGAGGAACATAGTGCATTCATTTATTTTATAAAAAATGTTCAGCTTAGATTGCAATTTATTTTGCTTCTCAAAGATTGTGCCGTAACTAGTTCAATGTTCATTTTGGTGTAACTGAAGGAAAACATGATTTTGAGTATATGAATTATTTTTCTTTCTTTTGAAGATACAATAGATATCCAAAACAGATATCTAAATCTACTACATTTTAGATTAATGCCAGTACTTTTGAAATTGTGCTGGTACTTGAAGAAAAGAATGCCCTCCTCTGCAGATGGAAGCAGCTCATAACCTGAACACCTTCTGCTCAGAATGCAAAATCAACTTTGGGGCATTGCCAATACATGTTAGGTGTCAGGATTTTTCTTCCTTCTGCAGAAAGATAACAGACCTGCTGCAGGGCCCCAACTGCAAGGACATTGCTGTGGTCAGCCTGTTGGTGTCCTCAGGATCCTGATATGGTGCTTCCAGCAGGATTCCAGGATAATTCAAAGGTTAAGAGTATATATGTTCCTTCCCAATAAAAAAACACATTCTTATGAACAGCAGAAAAGAATTAATTGGGTGTACATGTGCAGCTAAATGACCGAGGTTTCTGTCATGGCACGTTGAGGAATCCTGATGTTGAGGGATTTTTGAAGGAGCCTCCTAACATAATCATAGAATGTCTTGTACGCATTGGGAATCAGGGGCTTTCTCTTTATTCAGAAAAGGTTCATTTAGCTGCAACAGTTGTTTTTGTATTTAAGCTCTGAGGGGTTTTCAGCTTATCTGCAATATGCTGTCTTAGGGTTTTTCACGTGTTCATCCACTAATTGTGGATATAATCTTGCCATGGACTCTACAGCTGATTGAATAATGTTAACTGGATGTCCCTTGCAGCCAATGATCCTTCTTTACCCTTCCACCCAAACAGTGTTCCTAGGTGCTTGATGAATTGCGTCAATATGATTATTATAATTGATTCTTCCTACACTAGTTCATCATAATAACTTTCCTGTGTTTATTTTTCTCCCAAGTCATGGAATTCAGCAGCAGAGGGAAGACTGAAGACATTATGTCTTGCATCTTTATATGGATAGGACATGCCCCTTTCACAAGACTCCCTGGCTCTCCATCTCTACTGCAGTCATACTCATGACTGTATAATGATTTGATGTCATATAGCAGAAGTGAAGCTAGAAAACATTGTACAAAGGCACAAGCATCTCCAAGCCTCTTTAAAGTCTCTTGAAAATTTGGCTTTGCTAAAGTCTCAAGAAAATTGTCTATCAGATGGAAAGGATAACACTCAAGGAAACAGATATATGCATAGTGAGAGCAGTTCTGGCATCACTCATAGTGTGAATGTGTACATAAGTGATTGCTCTAATGACAGAGAAAGGTTGTTTATCAGAAACTGAAGATTTTTCAACACATGCTCGTCATATGTGCATTCATTAACCTGCTCATTTTCCAGCCAAGAGTTCTTGTGGCCCTTGGGCTGTTTTTAACCAAAGAAAGAAATCTCAATGCTGGGGACATACCAAAGGTGTTATACATAGAGGAGGCTTTACCTGAACAAGTACAAAGGCATATACACACCTACAGTGTTCCTGTGCATCTGGTCAAAAGACGGTTAAAAAGGAAGAGGTAAGCAAGCGGCTGCAAGCAGTGAGATCTGTGTGACTGGTCAAGTAGCGGGCTTGACCCATCACGTACTTTGGCCTTTCAGTCATCTTTGTGCTTTGATTCTGAGAGACTTCCCTAAGCCTGGAGGTGCCTTCATTGCAGCCGCATGCTCAGTGTCACTGCTTCCAAAGAACCCCGTTTACCAAAGCACCCTCTCACATTTTCCAAAGAAGAAATGATGTTTCAGATTGTTTTGTATCATCTTAAATGAAATATCTTTTTTCTTTCAGGTTTTGTATTTTCTCTTTCTGTTTCTTGTTTGTTTCCCTCAGCTGGGACAACAGAGAATTTGGTTCTGTGTAACTTACAGCCTTCACTTTTTCATTCTTATCTGCAGGCTGAAAATATTAACTAAGAAATATTGAATCAATTCACAATTCCAAAATGACATCACAGTTTGGCCCGCAATTATGTATGCTAAGAAATATTGAATCAATTCATAATTCCAAAACGACATCACAGTTTGGCCCGCAATTATGTATTTACCTTTTATCAGTTCAGATCTATGGGTACATATTCACTTTCCTTACAGTTTGAGCTAATACTATCTATATTAAATTGAAGACTGACTTCTGTCAGTAAGGTATCTGAGTTACTTACCATGTCTAACTTAAATTTTTGAGAGGAAGATACATGTATATTTTTCTGTACATGTTTGTGTATGCACATGTTTTAAATATCTTTAAAATGTGAAATACCATACCTGTGCTAAAATGAGGGCTATTCGGCAAGAGGATGTTGTTCCTCTGAAGCCTTCGAGCTGAACGTTTTCCTGGCCATTGAATTGAGAGCACTTCTGCTTTTGTTGGATCTTGTCTGCACAGAAACACAGGAGACTTCATAGGGTAACACCTGTGGGAGAGCTTTCCTCTCGCTGTTCTCAAAAAATGTGTTAGTATCTTCCCTTTTGAATGAAAAAAGGAAAAATCTGGAATTTCTTCAGATTTTCACTGTTACTAATTAGTTGTGTTTAGGTTGCTAGTCATTAGAGAAATTAAAAAAAAAAAAAAAAAGAAGAGGATGGTTAAGCTGGCGTAAACCTATCTTTTAGGGAGAGAAACCTCGAGGTCACTGTTGTCCTTAATGTAGTTCTGACTTGACCTAAGGAACCATTCACACTGTTTCTTATTTCATGGGAATTTCATAGCATCTCTGCAGAGGAACTGGGGTCACGAGAACAGCTAAAAGTGAGATATGAACTTTAAACATTGACCGCTTCAGCTTAAAGTTTGAAAAGACAAATAGCAACATGTATCTGTTAATAAGGAAGGAAAAATATTAGATGGAGGACAGACACATTTCTGGGACCAGTATTTAAATACAGCAGATACAGAAATGACTTATGTTTGTACTGCGATGACATAGAGTCATTGAAGGTTGAGAGTTTGTGTGGGGGCTGAAGGATGTCTCTACGTGGTTCTTCTTCATCATCTAGCTGGAGAGCAATGAAGGACCAGGACTAGGGTTAGTTTTGAACAGTTAGTTGGATTAGTGGTTGCAAAGAATATTAGACAGTAATCTAAACAGTTCAGTAAATAATTCCCGGGTCACTGCTTTGGAAAGCTCTCTGGTCTCCTGAAGCACAGAATGAAGGCTTACCAGAAGCACACACACTATGTTAAGGAGACATTTTAGGATAGTATCTTCTGCAGCAAAAAATCCCTTCACAGTAAGCCAAATTATGGCACTTCCCCACTGTGAACACTCTTAAATTAGTTCAGGAGTGTCTTAATGGGATTTTGATTCAGAGAGTTTGCCCCTAAGTTAAATATAATTGAAGATGATTTTTCATAGGGACTGGGGTATCTGCACTAAGAACTAACTCATCTTCTCCAGAGTAGCTGTAGTTACAGTGCTGAGTTTGCCTGGCTTTTACATTGCTGCCTCAGAAAATGGGGAAGATGGTATTTGGCTTAACAGTGTCACACCTCTTTCTCATTTTCTTTGCTATAAACCAAATGATAAAACTGGAGAGAGAGGTCTCCACAATGCCCTACCAGACAGTCAATGCAGACAAGAAAGCTGGCAGCAAAAGGGATGTTCACGTCACCCAATACACACCCAAGTGAAGAGTTTGAGTTACCCAGATGGTTCTTCTAGACCATATTTCTAGAGAGGCTGTCCTAAAAGGCAAGTCAGGGAAGAAGTCAATGATTACTTCAGAGGATGTAAAAGCACCTAAGTTGGGCTCCACCTTTGAACTGGCCATTCAAGACTTCTTTCTCTCCCATCAGTTGTATGTGGAACCTGGAAAGAGGTATGCATGAATGGAGGGGTACAAATAACTGTGCATACTTGGCGCACCCTTTCAAAACCTGCTTGATTCCTGTGGTCAAGCTGCTAGCACACAACCGCAGTCTATTATTCATGTACTTCAGAGATCTCAAAACCAACAGCAAAGCAAACAAGAAAATGACATTTCCAAAAGAAAGAATGAAAAAGCAATGCATTTTAAAACACTTGAAGTGCTGAGATCTTCTTTGTCCATGAAACACAACAGCTTGTATTTTGCTTTCCCTATCATCTTTAACAGTAGTGTCCTGAAGAAAACAAATCCATAAAGCCAAGTACCTTTTCAAAAATGTTTTTATCCTTCATCCTACAAACCCTTATCTGTGAGGTCAAGGTATTAAATCCAGCTAAACCCCTTGGATGGATGTGGGATACTCTGGTGATTGAGAGTTTATAGACTTAGATGTTAATCAATACTGTGGCCTTATGTTTTAGGAAGAAGCTGTAACAAGCAAGAGCCTGGCTATTTCTCCTCTTAACATTGGGATCATCGTGCAAGCAGGTA